AAAAAAAAAAAAAACACCCCAAAAAAAAAGAAAAAAAAAAAAAGAGTTACAGCTTTGCTCCTTAAATGCAAAACTGGTGCTGTTTGGGGTTCCTATTATTTCTCCTTTCTTTCCTTCTTCGACTTTTATTATGACTTTTTTTTTTTTTGAGGGAAAGGGAAAAAAGGTAATAAGATGGAAATAGGTAAAAAGGGAAGAAGAAAAAGGGATTGGGATCTTATTTTAGAAAAAGTCTTACCTTTCCTTCAGTGATAATAAATATCGATCCAGACATCCCTGATGCACAGCATGTCCACAGGAAGAAACATATATTCCATCACAATCTGGGGGCCGGAACCCATCATATGCTGGGAGAGGAACGGTGGATTCCAACTGTGCCTTATCACCACGAGCATGAGCACTTTCTGATGCCGAAGGATTATCCAGCATCTCTTTTGAAAGAGCAGCGATGTATTTTCCTAGAAAAAGAGAGTCTGCATCTCCACTTGTTGGAGCACCTCCAGCTGTTGAGAATTTCTCATTGTTTTTTGCAAAATCTGAACACGATAAAGTATCATGCATTTCTCCTCGAATCAATGAGTACATACGCTCTTCCATTGCCTCAAGTGAAGATGCTGTTTTTTCCATTGTATCATTTGATGTGCAAGGAATTTGAATATTCCTCACTGAAGGGAACCGAGTCTTGACAAATTCCAAAAAAGCATCGACTTCCCTAGGACTTCCATTTGAAGCAAATTCATTTACAGCATTCTGAATCAAATGCATTAACTGAGAAGATGATATCATTTCCGAACTTCTTGAGACAGTGCTTCTCTGGAATGACACATTCATTGTGTCTGTGCTCATAAAAATAGGATCCTTCCCTGATTGGCGAACTTGTTCCCATGACGGGGGACCTTTGTCAACAAAACTCAGAAGCCTGGATTTCTTGTGTCCACCACGAATTAAGATAAAATATCAGTTTGACTTTATGCAAGAGTTTACATAGAAATAATAATGATCAGCCACACATATATATAGTATCAGTGATTCCATTTGATTGATGCATCAAATGACAAAAACACGTACTGGGGAGTCACCTACCTGGAGAAGAATCAGAAAACATACAGGATCTTTTGAATTCGGATCACGGCAAAGAGAACAAATGACTTTTGCAGACTCCTCCGAATCGTGCCCAACATCAGGGGGACATACTTCTTGTCCAAATTTAGAAATGTTCAACTCATCATCTGCACTGGAATTAATGCTCGCCAAAAATTTGGACTGCTGGGCTCTCATTTTTTCCTACAGGTTCAAAGCTAGTGAGCACTGGAAAAGAATACAAACTGGACTCCGACATGATATGAGACAACCAGAAGCTGTTTGATCCAGCCACATATTAGACCGAGAAAAGAACCTATGAAAGGCCAGCTATGGCTAGGTATCTCCCATAAACAAACAAAACCTATAATCATTCCTCATGTATGAGGAATACCAGCCAAACATAAACAATACATAATTAGTAAAATTTGATCATCTGAAATAGACTGAATTACATGGACTGGTATGTAATTTTTTGGAAAGTAGACTGGTATGTAATTTGAGTGTAGTTATGCGTGCAAAATAATATCAAGACAGAGGAAATGGCTAACAAGTCATGTTTTCTTCTTCTTTTCGGTCAAAATATTACTCGCATACCGTAACACAATTCTTCATCATGAGCACTTCACTCATTTTGGAGCTACAATAAAAATAAAAGAGAGTTCATGTACAATCATAATTTTCCACATTTGAAAGAGTCCATGTGACAAATACCCATAATGGTACCTGCATTTTGATGGTTGATGATCGATTTCAACAATTGCTAAAAAATCACATAAAATGTGCACAAAAGACAAACTCTCACCAATATGGAAGCTTGTCTTTCTCGAGCTTTTGCCTTGTGCTTATCACCGTCATTACCTGACAGCTTGACATCGGTATCACTATTTGAAATAGATTGCCTAAGCTGATTAACCACATCAGGTGCAAGATTTTGCAGTTTAGCCATGCATCCAGAGTCAAGCTCAGCAAACTTTTTCAATAAATTTTCAATGAAAGAAGAGTAGTTGAAACTGCCAACTTCGACAAAGTTGTCTAGATTTTCTTTCTTATGGATCCTCCTCAGTAAAACAAGAAGTGATAGCAAGCTCTGATCACCATATCTACTATTAACCCCCGAGTCTATTTCTTCACTAGCAAAAGCTAAAATGGGGATCGAATCACCCATGTATTTTAACAGATCACCAGATTCCTTCTGCACATCACAGATGTCTAATGCTAGCGACAGCAAATGCAACGCCGTCAAAAGGACACCATCAGGAGCCCGTGATGCAGTAGACTTATCAGTGTAAACAGCATAAAATATTACCGCTCGGATGATTTGGAGGACCACTTTACAAGTAGCTATTTGAGCTATTCCATTGAGAGGTGGATAAATCTTTGTCCACCTGGGAAGCTGAGTGGTCAATGCAGAAACGTTACAAAAGCGAAAGTATCTTTCTTCTGCGTCCTGCAAGTCCTTTGAGTTCCAACGAGGATGATACAAATCTAATTCCTTCCAATAATCCACTCGCAGTTTAAATATACCCTGAAATACAGAGAAGCATCAGCCAATGAATGCAAATGTGTGTCAATTCAGCAGCATCCAAAAATACTTCACACCGCAAACCAAACCTGCTTCATGCCGGATGGATTGGAATATGCTGCTATCGTATCCAAAGTTTCCTGAAGCTGATCAATTTTGGAAAGCTCACGAGGAAGAGATTTCACCAACTGACTGTGAGTGGCATCACCGGTGGAGAGCTTATAAATTAACTCTCGTTTCAAACATTCAACTGTAGTTAGTCCACAAAACCGCCTTTCTTTTACTATTTGTATAATAAGCGTAAGCATTTCCTGCATTAAAACTGGTTCATACCTGAAAACAGGTGTGTAAAGAAATCTTATGCCATGACAGATAAACCTATAAGAATATAATTCTAGGTTTTCAGTTTTCAACACAATGCAGAGTTTGCAGAGGAACAGCGCTCAGGTCGGTTGAGCGGTGATCCCCCCTCAATCGATAGGTCAAAATCAGAAACATGGTACCAGTTACATCTCGAATCTTTGAGAAAATCGGGGCCTTTCCCGCATAATTTCCTAACAGGCCTGGAAAAACAGGTAAGGTCATATTTTATGAGATCATCATTCTTACGCCTCTAGATAACCATTATTGCAATCCTCTTATGCCAAGTCCACCACTGGATTAAGTTGATAGCTAGTGACTAACTATTTAAGCAACTCAAAGACTAGTCATACCTAAATCATTTCAATTCTAAAACATTTGTCCTGTTTCTAAAACTAATCCACAAACACTCCAAACTTGATTTTGCTCAATTAGAACTTTTTATGCATCAAGTGAACTCATCCACCATAAAAGCACAATCTAAGGGGCTTAATGATGCAGTTGATGTAATCCACCAGTGATTACCTATAATGATGTGCCCCTCTTCTTAAGCTAAGGGTAATCAACCTCTAAGAACTATTTTATTTACATTCCCTAATTTGCTGAACACCCCACACTTATATCTCTAATCCTTTCCATTAGTTTTTTCAGTAGAAATGTAAAGCTTAGCATCATAACATTCTCGATACATGTAAGACTGTCTGCTCTCTTTCCCAGAATCCAATGTGACAAATGAGAACGAAAAGGAAATGGTGAAGCTTGGAATCAAATATTCGGATCTTACTAATTCATTTTAGTATTGTTTTAACATTAACACGTGTTGAGAATTGAGATTATGTTAGTAATTTAGGATTTATTCGGATTTATGTTAACACATTAGTCACATTGTCTTTTTGGATTTATCAATTTGGGGATATAAGGTTAGGGCACATATCTTACTATCTTAGTTTTGGTGGTACAATAATGTTAGGCATCTTTGATTTAAGGTTCTTAGGGTTCCTACTTCCTAGGTTCCATATAAAAGGGATTGCTGAAAGGATTTTTGGAGACATTTGATTATTGATTGATTCAAATACAAGCCTTGATTTTACTCGCTAGTTTCTTTTGATTCCTCATCCACCTCTTTTTTATTTTTCATCATGTTCTTCTAATCTTCGCTTCTCATCCACACCTCCTCTATCCCAACCTACATCCATGACTCAGCTGACAAAGATATAGTCAACTATATCATGCAATGTTATGGTCATTAAATCATTGTAATCAAGCGAATGAATTATATATCTACAAGGGTGCCATATGCAATGCAACTAAGTGTGTAAATTTACTGTGGTTAAAATGAAAGTGAGTGGTTAAAATGTTTAAGTTGTAACATTAGAATGTGGATGTAAGTGTTCTTCTAATTCCTCATCCATGTCTCTTTAATTCTCCTTACTTTCTTCTAATCTTCGCTCCTCATCCACACCTACATCCATGAATCAGTTGACAAAAAACATGGTCAACTACATCATACAACATTATTATCGTAGAATCATGGTAATCAAGTGTATGAATTTTACATCCACTAGGGTAACCCGTGCAATGCACAACCAAGTGCATAGATTTATTACGGCTAAAATGAAAAAAGGCAATTAAAATGCAAGTATGGTTAAAATGCTTACTGTGATTAAAATATAAGTTGTAAGTTTTAAACATACAATTTATTTTATTATATCATTATAAGTTACTTTAGATCTTAAATGATTTTAGCTTATATTTAAAGTCAAGGGAGAAGAAAAAATTAATAGAAAATATATAAAAACAAAAGATGTTTTAATTCATTTGACCAGCCTAGACCCATTTGACCCACATTTAATAGTTCTACACAACACGTGTATAGGAGTAAGTTCTCCAAATGTTCACCTTTTCACTCAAATTTGGACACGTTGCTGCCTTATCATTCACACACATACCACCAAATTTGAAGTGATGTTTTGAGAAGTGCAAAATGTTGTATTGTTATCTTCTCTCTCTCTCTCTCTCTCACGTTGTCTACCAATTTTTTGCCCCCAATAATCGGCAACTAATCAGCTATAGGAAAACTCAGATTTCTCAGAAGAATGAAGCTCATAGAGGGATGGGATGTTTCTAAAGGGTGGTTGACCCCCTCCTGTGCCGATGATGTCCATATTTTCTCACAAAATCAACAGCCCTTTACAATTGACCAAAAAAAAAAAAACAATCAGCTACAGGGAAGAAGAAACGGTGGAGCAAATGAATTTCCTCATCTGTAAACTCTGTGGTGCTTTGTGGCCAATGCAATGGTGCCCATGGCAAAGTCGACTGTGATTGTTTGAGAAATAGTGTCGTTGCTGTCGAAGAGAGTGACTGCTAGCGGTATTAATTGGTGGGCTTCATCAATTTTGTATTATTTTGTGAATTTTTTCTTACCAAACTAATTGTTTTGGCTGAAATTCGTAGCCTTTATCTGGGCATGGCTTGCAATTTGAGTTTTTTCTATAAACATTATTACAATTTTGAGCAAAATTAGGAAAAATACGGCAAAGCTTGGATGGATCGACCCGTTACGACCCGACAACAGACGTTACGGACCCTTTACAACCCAGTAACGGCCGTTACTAACGTGAATTTTATTTTGCCCGTTATATCACTCCGTAACGGAAACGTGGCCCGCCGATACCGTTACGGAACGGGCGTTACATTACAGAATGTGCGTTACATTATGGAACGGGCGTTATTCAAAACCATGATCATAAGACATTTAAAAAGGAATCCATTACATATTGATTTATAATTATCAAAATCTAATTGATAAATAAAGCCTATATACGTGCAATTGCAATAAGCTTACCAATGAGAAAATTAAAGAGACAATCATCCTAATAACAAAATTAATATGCAAGCACGGAAATTGTATAAATAAAATAGGAGAAACATAGTAACATTGATCATCATACCTATAAAGAACCATGCATAGACATGATTAACTTAGTAGCCGGGTCAATTGTGTCATGTTCTAGTGTATTCTGGTCGCGTCATATATAGCTTTGTATCAAGTGTTGGTCACCTATTATAATTATTCGGATCAAATCATCCAACACAAAACCAGCATGTTTATAACACAACCCAAAAACGACCCATATATAACATATAATCGATGGGTTATACTTGGGTCTTTTGACCAATGAAAAACCACCACCACCACCACCACAAGTGAAACACCCAAGACCACAAGTTGATTGGGTTATACTATAAAGACCGCTCGAACTGTTAAGATATTGTCCATTTTGGGCGCCCATACATCCTCACCATTTTGTTCCTCAGGAGCTTTGCCCCAGAAAAGGCCTCTTGATAATTAAGAGTGAGCACACCATATATATAGCCCAATCACTCCCCCTCCCAAGTCGATGTGTGATGCAAAGCTGTAGCACCTCCTCACCTCACAAAGTCTTTTGCCAAGCTGCTACAATCCACCCCCTTAGAGGGCACGCGTCCTCCCGAGGCCCACTTGGGGTCCACCCCCACTGGTTATAGGTGAGTCGGCTCTGATACCACCTGTAATGACCCGCCCCAACTATCAAGATATTGTCTATTTTGGACACCCATACACCCTCACGGTTTTATTTCTCTAGGACTTTTGCCCAAAAAATGGCTCTTGATAATTAAGGGGTAGATGTGGGTGGGGTGCAACACTTGAAGCTATAGCACATCTTCACCTCATAAGGCCTTTTAGCTGGCTGCTACATACACTGATCTCATTGGTCTGGGCTTGATCTGAGTTGATTGGACCAAGTGATTCTTTCTTTTTCTTCTTGACGTTGGGCCTGTTCTGGTGAAGCCTGGCCTGGAGGGGCTTGATCCAAACAACATAACCCAAGCTGGCTTGGGACTTGTAACCAACAGGGGTCTTCCCCTTTAACACACAACAGGAGGGAAGCACACGGGAACACCGGCGGCAAATCACAGACGATCAACATGATCATCACTCGAGGGCAAACAGTGAAGCAACCATTCAATCCTTCACTGCGACATATAATCAAAGAACGATGACACAACTCGGTCATCAACAAGACCTCTGCCGGCGACAAAAACCAACAACAGCCATATGCCCTCAAATTCTGGAATCACAGCAAGGGATAGAAGAGAACATAAAAAAAAAGACAAAAAAAAAAAGGTAGATGACGAAGAAGAGCTGATCATGGACCTGGCTCTGGTACCATGTAAATGTATATGCTAGGGTTTGAGAGAGAGAATAGCATGGGTGTGAGGAAGAGAGGCAGAAAATGTGAGTGTGAGGAGAAGAGAGATCAATCGTTACCTTCTCCCTCACCTCATATATATATATATATATAACTAAAAGACTATAACCCTTTTGGCATATAGTTATTACATGGATGCCATTCACATATATACTCTAACAGTGCTATACATATTGACCCATTTTTATACTCTAATTACTTCAGGTCCAACCCTAGACCGCTAATTCCGTGTTCAGTTCATGTCATTTTAACATACCATGTCAAAAACTGTCACCCCTATAAAAATCCCAAGATTAGTGGATAAGCTAGTTTGCTAATAATGAAGTTATTTTCAGCTGCAAAGCAATAACATACTTAAGGCAAATATAATTGAAATTTTCCAATCAGAAACAATGAAAACAACATGATTAAGGCAAAAGTATTCGTCACTGATAGAAGTTAAGGGAGAGTTACATACTCACTAGACTGTTCAGGATTCAAAGAAAGGTAATCTGCTAACCCAAAACGTTCCATAATTCTTGTGACATAAAGATCAGCTGGAGCTAATGCAGCACAGCACTGCAGTAAAAACAGGTCGAGCTCCAAACCTTGCTCCGACCTGAATCAAGGAGAAGAAAAAAAAGTACTTGAAGAATAACGACCCCCAAATTTATATACAAGTGGATATAAAATCCCACATGAGGAAGAATTTACATACCAGCGTACAGAACGATACAACTCAAAAGATAATATGGCAGCATCCCCATTTTTCCGCCACATTCCAGCATGTACTTCAGCACAAAATACCCTAACTCGCATTGGATGCTCCATAACAAAGGCAGAAAAGCCATAAGGATGGCACCCTCCTAACATATGACCAAAGAAATTACGGTAGGTAGCTGCTACCAACGGATCGGGAGGATTAGCTCTGATCAAATTTGGTGATGCAGGTTCACCAAAACATCTTCTTAACGCTTTGTGTAAAACCATTGAAAGTAATTTATGTAATGGAATGTGAACAGATATACACTGAGAACTAACATCATATTTTATATCAGGCCAATCTGACAAACTTAGAACACGGAGGGCTTCTAGTTCGGTAGCATAATCTCCTTCCACCCCACTATCATCAAAACAGTCAGGGCTGCTGTCGTGTCCCATACTACGTCCACTATCCAGTGAAGAACATTTTTTACCATGAACTTCACTTGTAAGTTTACTATCAGACGGAGAAGCATTGTGAGACTTAAAAATAAATCTGCTTTTTCTAATCTTAGAAAGTGTCCTCTTCAATGCAAAGAAATTGTTGCCACAGTTGTTACTTGTTTTTGGAGATAAGATATTGAGAAGAGGCCCTGATGTATTATCTGCCCTCAACCAATTCTCAATAGCCCTCAAGCACTCATATGTTAACCATGAAACAGAAGATGGAATTGGAACATTATCAGTATTCATAACTTCATCAGCCTTGGATGTACAATTCAATGTACTACTTCTTCCTGTCACACTACTAACGGAGCTTTCCTGTGAAAGCCTTCCAACTTTGGTATGTCTTAGGCTATCCTGGTCTTCGAATTCTAGTTCATGCATGTTAAAAGATGTTTCAACATCTGTCTCCTCAGCACTACTGACAGAAAATGCCCCGGCCACTAAAAGAGAGTGAATATTCGCAATAGAGTGACCTAAAACAAAAGGCAAATGCGTATTCCCATTTTCTTCTTCTATTTGAATGCCTGTTTCTCTCCTTTGAGGGTTCATCCCTTGTACAGAAGTCAAGAGTCGCATCCAAGTTTTTAAGATATCTCGCCGATCATGAGTCACGTATTTAGGTACTAAAGAGTGACTCATGACAAATCGAATATCTTCAACCACACGAAGAGTTGTTTCATACAAATCTCCCCACTTAGTAACCTGAAAATAAAACATGATAAACTTCCCCATTCTAGAATGAAAAAATATAGAACAACAAACAACAAACTAAATTTATAACAAGAAATTTAGCAACAAAATAGGAACATAAGATTATAGAGAAAAGATGGGTGAATTTTAACATAACCACTTATCACAGAATAGAATAAAAGCATAATAAGCACGCCCTATAATTGTAGCTACTAAATACAGTCAATAGGCTTCACAAAATACAAAAGTAGCTACAATAGTAACTTTCTTGGCTCAATTTGTTGATATCCCATGTATCCCCAACAACATTCAAGGCACAACTAACAAACAGCTGGGGTCATGGAAAAACCAATCATAGCAATCAGAAAAGACCAACAAACTTGATTGCATATATCCATGGGCCAATATGATGTTTTAGCCCTTACAGAAAGCGAAAAAACAACAATATACTACCTGTAGTCGACCTTCTTCCTCAGCACAAGAAATAAATATGTTCCCCAAACAATCCAACAGCATGGCCAAAAGATTCATTTCCTTCACAAGACGTGGGGTTAGAGCAGGTACGGTGAAAATTTGAACGGAAAATGTTGACAACAATGGGCACTTCTTGAAAATGGCATCATCACATTTTTTTATGGCTTCATTTACAACAGCCGGATAGTAGCTTAAGAAAACTTTTGCAAACTCGTACTTAAATTGAGGTTCTCCAAGCAATTTCAGAAGTAACTCGTGGAGCTTCTTAGCCACATCATCACTCAAGAACCTTTCTGCCCTCACCAGATTATCCAATAAACCAATTGCAGAGAAAATCCTCCCAGAAACAAAACTGAGCAAACTTTCACTGAATTTACAAAACTCTAAGAGCATCTCCACCACAGCAGATGTCAGCTCATCTGCAACCTTTTTGAGCTCAGCAACTCCAGAACTTCCCTCGGAGATAGTTTCAGCAGACAATAGTTTCCCCTTCCATAAAGAAAGTACGCAATCTAGAACAGGACCCACAGAGTTCGCAACTTCCTTGGAAAGGGGTTGTATTTGTTCTGCACCTTTATGCTTCGAACAAAAACCCTCACGTTTCCATGCAGTCACATCTCCACAATCACAGCAACCACCGCCTGTATAAATAATGGAGTAATCGTGGTCCTTGTGGTTCCCATTCTGGAAACATGGAACACAAATTGCGCATGTTGGGTCATGCTCGCAAGTTCGGCAGCGGTAAGCTATATCGTTGTTTCCCCAAACAGCCCCACAGACACCACGCTGACCAAAATTCATTTTACCCATGTGCTCTAGGGCAGTGCCTGGTTCACCCTCAAACATCAACCATTGCAACCAATACATGCTTTCATGGAACTGATCTTCAAGGCTTGGACCCACCGAAGCTTTTGTAGACTCTGGTTGAGCTTCCAGAACAGCCTCCACTACCTCCTCATCAGGAGGCAAGATAGCTGAGACCAACTCTGATATCCGAAACTTGTTGTCCTTAACATAAGCAACTAGACCTGGCTGGAGCTGCTTAAGATTCTCTTCAAGAACTCCCAGTAGAGCAAGTCTCTGGCAAATTAGAAGACAAAACATGGAGATCTATTAAACTACACACTCAAGTGTTCTTCAAATAAGTAGAAACATGCTAGGTAATATCTATTCAAATATATGGTTCAAATTCTCCTAAAAAGTCCTTCGTAAAATTTATTTAGATACATGGTTCACATGTTTGCCAAATAAGAAGAGTATCAAGTCAGCATATTAGATCATAAGTATAATTTTTTGGTAATAACAAGCATAACCACTGTTTACAGCAAAAACTTGAGTAAAAATGACATATCTTAACCAAACCAAAAACGTTTAATACGGATTCAATTTGAAAGCAAAATCTGCAAGCAATTTTATGAAAGGAATCTGGAGAATTTTACTAATAAAAAACCTAAAAAATATATTAGAGGACAAAGAGTCCTCAAAATGAGAAAAGAAGAGGGAAAAAAAGAGAGCTATAAGGTTCACTTAGAACGCAAAATAAGACTTTCAATCGTCAATAATCGGTACACACTTGATCCCAATGAAATCCGCAGGCATATGCATTGAATCACATTTTTATTCAACCAACCAGTCACTAGTGACTACTCTCCATTTGGTTGCCATGAAAACAATGATGACGTGAAAAATGAAAGTTTGAATATAGCCTGTTGGCTTATACTTTAAGAGTAAAAGGTAACTTTATGGAAATGGGATTGAATTGTTGCCCATGAGTCATATTTTGGGCAATGGAATAGGTGTTCCAAAGCAGTATCTGGCAGACCTTAAAAAATCCTAGATTCCTCTAACATTCAAATTTCTTCACAATAAGCTCTTGGTTAGTTGGTGCTTGTAGAAACAGGAGAAGTATAGCACAATATAAGAACTATATATCCTTTCAATCCAACAGAATCTGATATGGAAATTTGAGAGTAACTCATTGTTCCTTTTGTTGTGTGCGAGTATGATTTATTTATTATATTTTATTTTGGCGGGGTTTTTTTCTTTGTTGGGGGGGGGGGGGGGGTGG